AAGGTGTGTAAATTGACCCTGTTTGGTTGGGCAGAAATGGCCCAGAAAGAAAGAAGAGGGGTGGTTCTTCTCTGCCTTAAGAGAAACAAAGGCTTGATCGAGTTCATCCAGCAAAATAGGTTTCAAACTGAACTTTAACAAAAATGGGAAGGGTGGTGGGGAGACCGCTCCACCCCCCCTTCCTCCCCCCATGCAACAACTGGAGGCATCTAAATTTGGAAAGAAGCCCTGCCTGTGTTGGGAAAAGGGAGCCCGCCCATCCGACTTTTTCCTGCGGGTTTGGTTCCCTAACATAGAAACATTTTCAAATCTATGAGCCTTGAATGGACAAATACTTGCTATCAATATGGGACATGGGCCAGTGGCAAAAAAGCTTGAATGGGAACTCTGCTGAGGCGGTGGGAGAAACTAACGATGTACCGCGGGTTTGCCATTACTGGGCAAGGGAGAAAAAGAAAGAGACCCTTTCTGATTAATAACTAGCAGGGTAATGTTGAGGGCTTTTTCTGCCCGATTGCCTTTTTGAATTAGAGCCGATTTCTTCACACTTCAATAGGGCCTGTCTCCTTTAAAATGACTGACAGATCTCTCTCTTTCTCCTTTCTCTCCTCCCTCCCTTTCGCTTTCCCTGAGACTTAATGATGTAAATTTTCTAATTAGCTAAATCACGTTGCTTAGAGGCCTTAATATTTACTGGGCCAAAAAAAGTGATGATAATTCCTGATCGAATGTCTTCAAATAGCCAAGAAATAACGTCAGGCTTTTTTTTTTTTTAGGGACAGGCGAGAAAAAAAGGAGAGGGGATTAAAGTGGTTGCGGAGGGACGTTAAAATATAAGTAAAAACGTGGCTAAACTTAAGCCTCAAGCATGTTCCCCCTCCTCTTCCCTTAGAAAGAAAGAAACCCTGGCTTTTATTTTTCAATCAACTAAGATTTAATTAGGAGCCCCCAGGCCGGACGATCTGATATTTTCTCATTAGTTTCCCATCAGTAATCTTGAGTGTTAGATTGGCTTAAAGGTTGTCAACATTTGACCAATTTTATTTAAGGAAAAGAAATCATGCATTATAGCTCCGGGACCTTAGATCTGAAAATAAATCCTGCTTGGATCAGCGGAACTAACAGGCGAAAAAAATATTGACAATTTATCGTTGGATTTAATAAGTTGCATAATGCCTAGTATGCAGAGGGCGGGAAAGAGGGGAGCCACGGGTCCGTTCAGCGCTGGCGAAGTTCACAGCAGCTACAGCCATGCACGTTTGGGAGCCGCCTCTACCTGTCGCCACCGGGTGCGAGCAAGAGAGGGCGGAGGCGAGCTCGAGTTTCAAAAACCGCAACCCTAGGAGGGCTTGGGAACCACAGGAGTCTTCCGCCCTCCCCGCGCCGCTCTGTCCCACCCTCTCGGTTTCCAGTACAAGAAAGCTGAAGCGTTTTCCCTTGACTCTGGCCAACGAGACACAACGGCAGAGCGCCCCCTGCTGGTACAGGGACCAGAGTCACGGGCGAACGCTTCGGACTGAATATACGCAAACGCGCTCTCCCCCTCCCCGCCAAACTATCTGGGAGATTTCCTGCCTTGGCTGTTGCTCGAGAGAAAGCAAGCAAGCGGCCTGCCTATCTGGCCAGCCGGGCGCTGAGCTTTCCCATCGGCACCGAAGGATTACAATGCAGGACAAATCCTTCCAAATCTCAGGATTACGTTGCCTAACTGCGTCCCCCAACATCCCCTGCCAGGGCTAATGCATGGGGTCAAATGCATGGGGGGG